CAAAATTACAATGAGATATCACCTCACACCTATCAGAATAGCTAAAATCAACAAACATAAGAAACAACAGGTGTTGGAGAAGACGTGGAGAAAGGGAACCCTTGTGCATTTTTGGTGGGAATGCAAACTGGTACAGCCACTGTGGAAAATGGTATGAAAGTTCCTCAAAAAGTTAGAAATAGAACTATCCTATGATCCAGTAATCACAGAACTGGGTATTTACCCAAAGGAGACAAATATACTAACTCAAAAGGATACATGCTCCCCCATGTTTTTAGAAGCATTATCTACAATAGCCAAATTAAAGAAACAGCCACATCTATTGACTAATGAATGAATAAAGAAAATGTGGTGTGTGTGTGTATGTCTGTGTTTTTATATACAGTGGAATATTACTCAGCCATAAAAAGGAATGAAATCTTGCCATTTGCAACAGCATGGATGGAGCCAGAGAGTATTATGCTAAGCGAAATAAGTCATTCCTGAAGACAAATACCATATGATTTCATTTGTACACAGAATTTAAGAAACAAATGAGCAAAGGGAAAAAAAGAGAGAGAGAGAAAGACAAACTAAGAAACACACCTTAACTATAGAGCATAAACTGTTGGAGGTGGGAGTGGGGATGGGTAAAATAGGAGATGGGTATTAAGGAGTCACTTGTGATGAGCACTGGATGATGTATGGAATTGTTGAATCACTAATTGTACACCTGAAACAAATATTACACTGTGTGTTAACTACACTGGAATTAAAAAAAAAAATGTTTATGACTAAACCTAAAAAAATGTGGAAGACCTCAGAGAAATTTATACATGTTATTTAGAGAAATCAAAAAAGACTTAAGGAAATGGAGGGATATAACATATACCATGTTCATTGATTGAATGATTCAATGTTGTCATCATGAATGACAATGAATCAATATTGCCATCCCCCATCATCATGGGATATGTCAGCTCTCTTCAAACTAATCTACAGATTCAAAGTATTTCTTTTTTTTTTTCCTTCTTTATTGTGTAAATGGAGGGTTGAACCTCTTAATCTCATTTACCTATTTTGCCCACCACCCCCTTTCCTGGCAACCACCAGTTTGTTCTCTCTATTTATAAGTCTTGTTTTGTTTTAGATAGCACATGTAAATGATATCATATGGTATTTATCCTTTCCTGTCTGATTTACTTCATTTAACATAGTACCCTCTAGGTCCATCCATGCTATCACAAATGGTAAGATTTCATTCTTTTTTTATGGATCAGTAATATTCTATTGTGTGCGTGTGTGTGTGTATATGTGCGCGCGCACATACACACACACACACATACACATACCACATCTTTACGCATTCATCTATTGATGGACACTGAGGTTGCTTCCATACCTTGGCTGTTATAAATGCTGCAATGAACACGAATACATATATCTTTTCAAATTAGTTTTCTAATAAAAATCTCAGCAAATGTATTTGTGGAATTTGACAAGTTATTTCTAAAACTTAAGTGGAAATACAAAAGGTAATTTTAAGCAAGAATTAAAGTAGAATGGTTAATCAAACTGAAGACTAGTCACTAAATTGAATACTACATAACAATGAAAGTAATTAGCTATAGCTACATGCAACATGGATGAAATTTATAAATAGAACATCGAGCAAAAGAAGCCAAACATAAACAAGAATATATGTATGATATCACTTCTATAATTTTCCAAACAACAGGCAAAACTAATCTATAGTGTTTGAAATCAGGATAGTATTACACCTGGGGATTAGGTAGTGATTGAAAGGTAAAATGGGGGTTTCTGTGGGTCTAGTAATTTTCTGTTTCTTGATTCTTGTGTTTGTTAACATGGGTAAATTATTTCATGGTGTACACTTAACATTTACACTGTTTTTTTAATGTGTTTTTCTTAAGATTTTATTTTTAAGTTAGCTCTATACCCAGCATGGGGCTCGAACCCATAACCCTGAGATCAAGTTTCATGCTCCACCAGCTGAGCCAACCAGGCGCCCCTACACAGTTTCTTGATTTGGTAACATTTACACACACATCAAAAAGAAAAAAAATAAGGAAGTTTTTTATATACTGATAAGGAATGATCTTTAGAATAAATTACAAAGATAGTGAAACAAGATACAAAACTGTATAACATGCTATAATTTGTGTTACAGAAACATGTATATTCATATTTGCTTATATATACATAAGGCAAAAATTATGTTACATATAATTGCCTTTATGTGTACATAATAAATCTCTGGAAAGATATAGTAAATAAGTAAGCTTGCCTCCATTGATGGGGACTAAGTGTCCAAGGAACAGGAGTAAAAGATAAATCCTTCATTTTATATACAACTTACATCTTTTGAATGTCAAACCAGGTAAATACGTTAATTATTCAAGAAAATTTAAAAATAAACATAATGCAAATTACCTTTATAAAGCAATAGTATATTTTAAATTGGGGTTGTAAACTTCCCCAAAAGCCAACTCTGATGGATCAAGTTTGTTAGATAATTTCATAAATTATAGGGTTCTTAAAATATTCCTTCCCTGCAGCTTAGCTAATATTCCTTAGAAGTACTCTGATGATATCAAAGCAGAACACCACAAATAGAAAAAAATAACTCCGATATAATAAGTACAAATAATTTAATGTCTGTATGTCATAGACTATCTATTGAATTTTACTTGAAAACCATATAAAACAATTCTAAGTTTTTCCCATTATACAATTTATGATCAGTGATAGCAAGGACTATTAAGATGCCTAAAATATGAATGTCTTATTTTATTAATTTTCAGATCATGTAGCACAGAAATCAAAACAGTTGTTCTTCCATATTTAGCTTTAAAATCAGATTTGAAAGGAATCCAAGGATCATTCCCCAGAAGCAGCTGAAATATCTAAACCTATTTCTCAATAGTTACTGCCTTCAAAGAATATGAGACCAAAGGTTGAAGGTGCCTTATGAAAAAATAAATAAAAACCTAAAATGTATAGCATAAGCTATATAAATATATATATGGTACAAACATAAGGATATATAGAAATTTACATAGTTAACTGGCTAATTTAAGAAGGCTTAGAGTTCCAAAAGATGCTTGGTTATTAAATTCTCCTTTACAGACCTAAGCCTCCATTCACCATACATTTAAAAATATTTCCCTCCCTACAGTAAATTGTGATAGTTAATGATTATTTCAATTCAAGATAATGATAACTTTCAAATTTAAGATAATGAATTTATCTTTGTCAAAAAAATAGATATCATACTTTTGTAAGCATTAAAAGAAGCAATGCCTACAAATTTCTATGATTCTATATGTCCAAAAACTGTCAGCTTGGTTTTTTATGTTGCTAACAGGTAAATCCAAATCAATTAAGATAATAAAATTATAACTGAAAAACATCACCAGCAATTGTTTCCTTCCCCACCCCCCCAAAAGGGCCATAAAAGGGGCCAGAACATTTCCTTCAACATTCCAACTGTGAGGGTGAAAAACCTATTTTGTTCATCTACACAAAAGTGTAAGGCCAGATCTACTCAAATCATCGAAACAAACAAATAAAAATCTTACAAGCAGAGAAAGAGATAAAATCAATATGTCAATATCTGCATAGGTAATATTTTTAGTGATAAAAACAGGAATAGTACAACTCTTGATGATCTTTAAATTTTTTAATATCCTGAAATTTCTGCTATATTACTTTAAAATTTAAGATAAAATAACCAAAATTAGATCCAATCTAAATAAAGAAATTCCATCTAGTTTTAGCAGACATCTAAAATATAAATTTCCTCCTCTCAAAATATACTGGATATAATAAATATAATTGATGGTGAATCCTAAAACACTGTAGACATAACATTCATGAATATCGAAGGTTAATGATTTAAATAGTACAGTATGCACACAAGTGAAAAAAACTTCAGGTAAATAAAAGAATGTCTGCATAACTGCCATCGTTTTTCCTCACATACTTATAAAAACAGATTTACTTCTTTAAACTCTGTCCATATAGTGATGATTCCTTATTAAACTACTACCATTCAACAAAATAAAATAAGCACTATCTTGAGTTCTTAGCAGTGACTGCCTGCCTCCATTATTCACCTACCTCAGTTTGAATAGTACTTGCTAATCTGTGTAAATTTACTTCTCAGGGGTTTCTTTTTCTTTCATTAACATCAAATTTTACTGTGATGGCCCTTCTCATTCACTGCAAAGAGTTAGATTGTTTTCCAAATAATAAACAAATATCAGGTTATTTTCAGTTAAATTACAGAGACAGATAATGAAATACAAATTTTACTTATCTCCAGGGGGATTATCAGTTGAGTAGATGTAAATTATGTTCTAGGTCTAATTGACACCAACATTAGAAACATTAAAGTTTGGTAATTTGTTACAAATAAAATCTAGTAAATTTTCCCATATCCATTCATTTAATTTTCTCTTTCTGATTATTAATATTTCATTCTAAAATGGGAGAATTGAAATTCTGATCAAATTACCATCTTGGAAAACATTAAGCTTGTATGTGTAGTATTGCTCAACACCTAGTACCAACATTTTTGGAATCTAAAACTTTTGTCTCAGGGTTTTTTTTCATGTTAAAATATTTAAGCAAAAGAGTTTAGTGTAGGACATAACTGCCACGATCAAAAGGTGTAAAAAAACATTTAGTATTTACTTGACTTTTAAAATTTTAGGTCTGAGTTTTCAGCACCATGGCCTAGGGGGAAAAAAATGCATCACTGCTGCAGTGCCAGTTTATAGCAAGAACAGAAATGGTAGGAGTTCCCCATTAGATGATTGAATCTAATCAATTACGAATTTTCTATGAAAATAAACTACTATAAAAGCAAGCATAACATCAAATTATTCCAGGTATTAAGATTCTGAAAAAATCTAGTCTTTCAAAAGTTAACCTGAAACTTCTCAGGAAATACTTTTCTCATACATCAAGAAATTGTTTAACTCAGACATTCTTACCGTTCTCGGTTAAATTTAAGAGAATGAAGAATAGCTGGCCTTTTTTGTCTAAGATTCCACAAATGAAGGGTATCATCTGAACTTGCACTAACCAAAGCACCCTGAAACAAAAAAGAAGACAAAGCAAGTGAGTGACTTCCTTAAGAGTTTTATTTAAGCAAAAACAACAAGCTAATTCACTGAATTTTTCACTACTTGAAGAGTTATTTGTATCTATAGAACCTAGAAATATAAGGAAAAACAATTGTACAAACTTCAATCAGGAAGGCTAAGAATGCTGAGTAGAAGGAAGTGAACTACTACATATAGATTGGTCTGGATGACTAGCTCAAGTCATATGCATTTACCACTAGAGAGAATTAATTATTGTAAGTGTCATTAGGACTATTAAGGATTTTTGTATTTTCTTTGGGAAAAACTAAGTTTAATTTTCTTGTCTCTAATATTCACACACATACTATGTAGCTTCCAGAAAAGAAAATATCCAACCCAGTTTTAAAATTGCAATCTGGTCACATAAAAATTCATCATTTGTAAGGATTTTCTGTACAGTTGGAAAGTATATATCCTTTCTAAAAAGTATACTTGGTATAATTTATTTTCAATAGGTAACTTATTTCAAAAAGCTTCATCTATGGGGCACCTGGGTGGCTCAGTTGGTTAAGCATCTGCCTTTGGCTCAGGTCATGATCCCAGGGTCCCAGTTCAGCTCCCTGCTGAGCCGGGAGTCTGCTTATCCCTCTCCCTCTGCTTCTGCCCCTCCCGCCTCTCTCTCTCTCAAATAAATAAAATCTTTTTAAAAAGAAAAAAAAAAGCTTCATCTATGATGAAAGAAAACATCTTTAATAAAAGAAAATGTTTCTCCAGCTAGAAATCAGTATAACTATAAAAATAATACCAATTTTTTACATTACATCCAAATACAGATGAATTATATTTCAAATACAATAGGCTATTTTCTACCTCTTAATATGGCAGACACCATAAGGGCAGATAACTAGTGGCCATGTATGATTTCATACATATATATGCTTAAACTATTTACTTGAGTTAAGTAAGAACATCTTAAACTATGTCAGAAGTTTTATGAGTTTCCCAGCTAAAAATGCCAATGCTTGCCCTATGACGAAGCCTGAAGGTACTCTAGAGTACTGACTATGTTCTATAAAAGAGATCTTGCAGAATCATGGTATCCTAATATACCCAAAATTCTTTTCATATTATCCAAAGTAATCTGTTACAAGTAACCTTTCATAGTTTATAACATCAACTACATATATAAAATGATTATCCCATTTAGATGATCAGATATAGTTATACTGAAATTCCTAAGATTTATTTCTTCTTTAGGAATTAAAAGAGAGAAGATAGAAACTGTTACAGAAGAACATTTAGATTCCTAAGATAAAGATGCTCATGTATCCTATCATGCTTCTCTTCATATTGTGTACCTGTGATTTTAGACTCAATAGCTTTTAAAACACAAATTGTAATCCAAGAGTATACCCATTAAAATATATTAAAAATGTATATAATTTGCATATTTGTATGTAAGTATATAAATACACATGCTAAAAGAGTTATATGTTGACATATACATTTTAACATGAACTCAGAGATAATTACATTCCATGCAATAAAATATATTCTATATATGCCTTGAGGAATTTTATGTTTGTTTGCTTGTTTTATTTATAAACCATCTCCAAATGTTACTTATATACAAACTAGAATGTTATTAGGATTGCTTACAAGTGCTTGATAAACTCATTTCTTTTCTTTCTTTCTTTTTTTTTTTTTTTTTTTTTTTGATACAGGATACTGATCTCCTTTCTAAGGACAATGGAAATTCACTTAGAATAGGGTGAGGATAGAACATGATATTTGAAATTAATAAAACATTCTCTAAATAGTTATGTGCTATACAAAAGACATAATATGCCAAAGGCAATGGAATTAAAGGCAGCATATATTCAATAATATATAATAATAATAGCCAAATAAATCTAGGAAGGAAGTATTATTAGTTCTATGATAAAAATAGGAGACAACTTATCATTTTGGAGGGATGTGAATAGGACCACTTAGCATAACAACACCAACAGAGAATATAAGACACATGAAAGTAAGCACATCAGCAAGGTGTGTAGGGCTTATTTACAAAAGCAAAGTGAATCTATAAGAAGCACAAGTAATAAAGATCTACGAAAAGATTAAAAGCCGAATAAAAACACCAGCTATGAGGTCAGAGACTAGGAAGTTTGGGAAAAGGTAAAGAAATTGAGTGTGAGAGGAGAAAAGATGGTGGAAGAATAGGGGACCCTATTCCAACCAGTCCCCTGAATTGAGCTGGATATCTACCAGACCACTCTGAACCCCCATGAAATCAGCCTGAGATGTAAAAAGATAGATCTGGATCTTTACAAAAAGAGTATCGCAGGTGGTTGGTGTCAAGGTATGAAGTGGGGAGCCATGATTCTGAGGGCAGATTTTGGAAGATAAACGGAAGGGGGAGGGAGGCTTTGGGAGCCTGCACTACTGGTGCGTGAAACCCTCCCAGGCTGGGGATGGGGCACAGACTTGCAGACCAGTAGCATTGAGGAAAGGACTTTAGGGCAGCCCCCCGACTGAAACCTGGAGCCTGGGGCCATGCATGGGAACTGGGGGCAACTGGCGGTTTTAGAAGCACAAAGGGGGAGACGTGCCTGGACCTGGAAGCTGAGGGGCACACAACCCAGGATGCTGCAGTTTTTAGCAGCACAGACAAAAACGTAGATAGAGTGGCCTGGAGAGCTCAATGAAGAGCAGACTGTGATCTTTCTGTTCTGAGACAGAGGGTTAGAAATGGTCTCTTCTGCTCTGACTCTTGGAAGAGACACAGAAAGCCACCAGGGAAAGCCACCAGAGAACAAAAGCTCCCCCCCCAAAAAAAAAAGTTTTCACTGAGCCCAACCCCTCCCCCGACAGGGGGCAGGGCAACTCTGCCCAAAAGGTTGCCTGAGTAACAGTACGGCAGGCCCCTCCCCCAAAAGACAGGTTGAGAGAACAAGAGGCCGACCACCCTAAGGTCCCTATAAAACAGGTGCATCTTGCATGGATTGTGTTCAGTAATTTGGACTCTGTACATTCCCTCAACCACCCATCAACAGAATGGCTAGGAGGAGAAACCCCCCAAATAGGAAAGACTCAGAGACTGTGACTTCTGCCACAGATTTACAAATGGATACAGATATAAACAAAATGTTGGAAATGGACTTCAGAGTAACAGTTATGAAGACGATAGCTAGAATGGAGAAATCGATTAATGGCAACATAGAGTCTCTAAGGCCAGAAATGAGAGCTGAACTGACAGAACTTAAAAATGCTATTAATGAGATCCAATCTAATCTAGATACCCTAACAGCTAGGGTAAATGAGGCAGAAGAATGAATTAGTGATCTAGAAGACAAATTGATAGAAAAGAAGGAAAAAGAGGAGGCCTGGGAGAAACAGCTTAAAACCCATGATAACAGAATTAGAGAAATAAGTGATGCCATGAAACATTCCAATGTCAGAATTATTGGAATCCCTGAGAGGGTGGAGAGAGAGGACTAGAAGATATATTTGAGCAAATTGCAGCTGAGAAATTCCCTAATCTGGGGAATGAAACAGATATTCGTGTCCTAGAGGCAGAGAGGACCTCTCCCAAGATCAAGGAAAACAGACCAATGCCCCAGCATGTAATAGTAAAACTTGCAAATCTTAGAAACAAGGAAACCATATTAAGGGCAGTTAGGGGGAAGAGACTCCTTATGTACAGAGGGAGGAACATCAGAATAACGTCAGACCTATCCACAGAGACCTGGCAAGCCAGAAAGGGCAGGCAAGACATATTCAGGGTACCGACGAGAAGAACATAGAGCCAACGATACTTTATCCAGCAAGGCTGTCATTTAGAATGGATGGAGAGATGCAGAGCTTCCAAGACTGGCAGAAATTGAAAGGATATATAACCACTAAGCCAGCCCTGCAAGAAATATTGAGAGGGGTCCTATAAAAGGAGAAAGACCCCAAGAGTGATATACAACAGAAATTTACAGAGACAATCTATAGAAACAAGGGCTTCACAGGCAACATGATGACAATAAATTCATATCTTTCAATAATCACTCTCAACGTGAATGGCCTAAATGCTCCCATAAAATGGCACAGGGTTGCAGATTGAATAAAAAGACAGGACCCATTGATATGCTGTCTACAAGAGACTCATTTTGAACCTAAGGATACATCCAGACTAAAAGTGAAGGGACAGAGCTCCATCTTCCATGCCAACAGACCTCAAAAGAAAGCTGGTGTAGCAATTCTTATATCAGAGAAATTAGATTTTAAGCTAAAGACTGTAGTTAGAGACACAGAAGGACACTGTATCATTCTTAAAGCATCTATCCAACAAGAAGATCTAACAATTGTAAATATCTACACCCCCAACATGGGAGCAGTCAACTACATAAGCCAACTGTTAACCAAAATAAAGAGTCATATTGATAATAATACATTAATTGTAGGAGACCTCAATACTCCACTCTCAGCAATAGACAGATCACTTAAGCAGAAAATCAACAAAGAAACAAGAGCTTTGAATGACATACTGGACCAGATGGACCTCATAGATATATACAGAACATTCCACCCTAAAACAACAGAATACTCATTCTTCTTGAGCACACATGGAAATTTCTCCAGAATAGACCACATACTAGGTCACAAATCAGGTCTCAACTGATACCAAAAGTTGAGATTATTCCCTGCATATTCTCAGACCATAATGCTTTAAAATTGGAACTCAATCACAAGAAAAAAATTTGGCAGAAATTCAAACACTTGGAAGCTAAAGAACACTGCTCAAGAATGTTTGGGTCAACCAGGAAATCAAAGAAGAACCTAAACAATTCATGGAAACCAATGAGAATGAAAACACATCAGTCCAAATCTATGGGATACTGCAAAGGCAGTCCTAAGTGGGAAATACATAGCCACCCAAGCCTCACTCAAAAAAGGGAAAAAACCAAATTCACCAACTAACTTTACACCTTAAAGAACTGGAGAAAAAGCAGGAAATGATGCCTAAGCCACATATTAGAAGAGAAATAATTAAGATTAGAGCAGAAATCAATGAATTAGAAACCAGAAACACAGTAGATCAGATCAATGAAACTAGAAGCTGGTTCTTTGAAAGAATTAATAAGATCGATAAACTATTGGCCAGACTTATCCAAAAGAAAAGAGAAAGGACCCAAATTAATAAAATTATGAATGAAAGTGGAGAGATCACGACTAACACCAAGGAAATAGAAACAATTATTAGAAATTATTATCAACAACTATATGCCCATAAATTAAGCAACCTGGAAGAAATGGATGCCTTCCTGGAAACCTATAAACTCCCAAGACTGAAACAGGAAGAAACTGACAACCTGAATAGGCCAATAACCAGTAACGAGATTGAAGCAGTGATCAAAAACCTCCCAAAAAAGAAGAGTCCAGGGCCTGATGGATTCCCTGGGGAATTCTACCAAACATTCAAAGAAGAAATAATACCTATTCTCCTGAAGCTGTTTCAAAAAATAGAAACAGAAGGAAAACTTCCAAACTCATTCTATGAGGCCAGCATTACCTTAATCCCAAACCAGGCAAAGACCCCATCAAAAAGAATTTCAGACCAATATCCCTGATGAATATGGATTCCAAAATTCCCAACAAAATCCTAGCTAATAGGATCCAACAATACATCAAAAGGATCATCCACCACGACCAAGTGGGATTTATCCCTGGGAAGCAAGGGTGGTTAAAAATTTGCAAATCAATCAATGTGATAGAGCACATTAATAAGAGGAGAGAGAAGAACCATATGGTCCTCTCAATTGATGCACAAAAAGCATTTGACAAAATAGAGCATCCTTTCCTGATTAAAACTCTTCAGAGTATAGGGATAGAGGGAACATTCCTCAAGTTCATAAAATCCATCTATGAAAAACCCACAGCAAATATCATCCTCAATGGGGAAAAGCTGAGAACCTTTCCCTTAAGATCAGGAACATGACAAGGATGCCCACTCTTGCCACTATTGTTCAACATAGTACTAGAAGTCCTAGCAACAGCAATCAGAAACAAAAAGAAAATAAGGTATCCCAACTGGCAAAGAAGAGGTCAAATTCTGTCTCTTCATAGAAGACATGATACTTTATGTGGAAAATCCAAAAGACTCTACCCCCAAATTACTAGAACTCATACAGCAATTCAGTAATGTGGCAGGATACAAAATCAATGCACAGAAATCAGTTGCTTTCCTACACACTAACAATGTAACTGTAGAAAGAGAAATTAGAGAATGGATTCCATTTACAATAGCACCAAACACCATAAGATACCTCAGAATAAACCTTAACCAAGGAGGTAAATGATCTATACTCTAGGAACTACAGAACACTCATGAAAGAAATTGAAGAAGACACAAAAAGATGGAAAAATATTCCATGCTCATGGATCAGAAGAATAAACATTGTTAAAATGTCTATGCTACCCAGAGCAATCTATACCTTCAATGCCATCCCGGTCAAAATTCCAATGACATTTTTCAAAGTGCTGGAACAATAATCCTAAAATTTGTATGGAATCAGAAAAGACCCTGAATCTCCAAGGAAATGTTGAAAAAGAAAAACAAAGCTGGGGGCATCACGTTGCCTGATTTCAATCTATATTACAAAGCTATGATCCCCAAGACATCATGGTACTGGCACAAAAACAGACATATAGACCAATGGAACAGAAAACAAATGTGAGTAAAAAATATGAGTCCAGAAGGCCTTAAGAAGCCTTTAACTGATGGAAGATCTGTAACTTTTCTGAGCTTTTTAAATACATACTCTGTCTTTAGGAAGTTCCTCATCACCATAGGTCTATAGAATAGGGATAGGGTAGGGAGCCAATTGTCATAATAGCTATGGATACATAAATAAATACAAATGCATATATGTACCAATAAATATATCTGAATATAGATAGATAGATAGATAGATAGATAGATAGATAGATAGATAGCAGAGCCCATAGGTAAATAACTGAAAAAGTTATTTCCTGAAAGATAAGGGCAAAACATGAAGTTAATACTGATTATAAAATTTGAATTAGTATGCTGAAGAAAAGTTTAGTAGTCGATGGAGCAATTAGAGTTTTGGTAATTTTTTAAAAACATGTAAATAATTAATCTGCAAATTATGCTGCATAATAACAGAATCTTCTGATATATGCAACCTTTCTCCTTTAAAATATAATAAATTGACAAATACTGAAGTAGTCTTTTATAAGAAATGTGACCCTGAATAATATTGCACACATATATATCTTTAAACATTTAGAATATATAAAAAATAACATATTTAAATACAAATATATTTTATATATAATATAAAAAATCACATCAACTAATGTAGTGTGTATATGTACGTCTCTGTGATAAATAGTCAAGAAAATCCTTACCTCATTGATCAAGAATTGGAGCTGCAGGACAGCTGCACCACTTTCATGTTGGCAATAACAATCAACGCCAGGTCTCCCAAGTCTAATATATTAAAAGTCAAGGATTCTAACATTTTAATTAGTACTAATATTAATGAGTAAAGTAAAAACTAACTTACCATCTAGTGTTTTGCTTTTTAGTTATCCTTATTTTTGTAAATAAAGAGTCAAAAAATCTTAGTTGATACAAATTACATTATATAGCATAGGACATCAACAAAATGGCCAAATAGGACATTTCTTGCACATATCACCTCCTTGACAACAATAATTTGCCACTCATGCACAAACAAAAGTGCCTTCCTGGGAGCTTCCAGATCTAGATAGGAGACTGTGAAATCACAGTGCAGTCCAAGAATGAAGAGAGTTGTTCTGAGAAAGCAGGCTTACACCAGGCAGCTGATTTACTGACTGTAGTCTCAGCTACAGAAACAGAAATACCTCTGTACCCCTGAAAACTCAGCTATAGGTAGCCTATTCAGCTTGGGGTCTGTCACCAGCATGTACTATATGCCAAGCGATCTGGAAGCATCACCCACACATTAAGTGATAGTCATACAAACCTCATTTCAGCTGTGGATCCAGAAGTGGTATTTGAACCAGCTCAAGCTCTTCTTGGCTGCAGTGCAGGAGCCCCTGGAGGTAAGCCCACCAAATTCAGGCAGATCAAAGATCTGAAATGGCCTTGTAAATGGGCTCCAGCCCATCCCAGCCACAGTCTAGGAACAATCTTGCTGGTACAGGGACCCTGTTGGAGACACTCTTGTCTGTGCCCCTAGAGATCCTGAAAGGGCCCTATATGTGCTCCATCTTCCTCACAGCAACAGTCAGTCAGTATGCCAGCAGTCCTGAGGGTCCAGGGTCCCAGCAGAAGACATTCCCATCTGTGAATCTGAAGATCTGGGAAGGGCCTCATCCTCTACTCCCCACCCTTCCAGTCACAGTCCACAGGTAGGCATGCTGGCATGAGAACCAGGCTGCAGACACGCCCATCTGTGCTCAGAGGGATCCTGAAAGGGCCAATATATGAGCCCAGCCTCCTCCCAGTCATAGTCAGGGAACAGTCCTGAGGGTCCAGGGTCCCAGTGGGAAACATTCCTGGATACAACCCTGATGACTCTGAAAGGACCTTATATTCAGCTCCAGATCCTCCAACAGCAATCTATGAATAGTCCTGCTGCCATAGAGACCTAGCAGGAGACACTCCTGTTTGTATTCCCAGAGATCCCTATACTGGGTACCAGCCCCTCCCAGCCTCAATCCATGAGCAGTCCTACAGGCACAGTGACCTGGTAAGAGACACAACTGTACCCTAAAAGATCCTGAAAGGGCCCTATACTTGGCTTGAGCCCCTCTGGCCATGGTCAGGGACAAATCCAACCTATCCAGTGACTTGGAGGGAGACATCCCATCTGTGCCCCCAGAGCCAGGTCTGCAAACCTTAATCTTGGCTGTGGAATGTGAAACAGCCCAGAGGCTCAGTTCCAGCACCTCTCAGCCACAGTTCAGGACCAATCCTGCCCACCCAGGGAGCCATCCAGTAATGAGGCAACAGTTCTCCCAGGTATCTGATGGGAGCCACACCTACCATTTACCTGATCATAGGCCCACTGACTGTTTACCTGATAATAGGACCCACATGTGGACCTTTGTCTACTACCACTCTACTGATAAGGTACTAGAGGTAACAGTTGCATGCACCCAGGGACCAGAAGTGATCCACACTGGCCTAAGCCGTGGTTAACAAGCCCAACCACAGACTCCACTGCAGAATCAGTAATAGCCTTGTAACTGGCTCCAACACAGCACATCAAAGCAGAGCTTCAATAACAGCCCTGATCACACAAAAGAATTAGCAAACACAAAGACAAATCATCTGAAATTAACCACTTAGAGGAACAAGAAGAAGGAAGAGTGAAGAAAGCCTAAGTAAATTATGGGATACCAACAAGCAAATGGGCACTTGCATCATGAGAGTCCCAGAAGAAAAAGAAGAGGAGAAAGAAGCAGAAAGATCATTTAAAGAAAAAAACAGCTGAAAACTTCCAAAATCTTGGAAAAGATATACACATCCAGGTACAGGAAGCTCAAAGGAACCCAAGCAAGATCAACCCAAAGATTACACTGAGAAGTAATATAACCAAAATGCTTAAAGACAAGGAGATAATTTTGAAAGCAACAAGTGAAAAGCAATTTGTCACTACAAAGAAACCCACATAAGATTATCAGTGGATTTCTCTGCAGAAATCTAGCAGGCCAGGAGTTAGTGGAATGATATATTCAAAGTAATGAAGGAAAAAAAAAAACCTGCCAACCAAGAATACCATACCAAGCAAAACTGTCTTTCAGAAATGAAGAAAAGATAAAGACATTCCTGGACAAAGAGTAGCTAAGGTAGTTCATTACCACTAAGCCTGCTGTTACAAAAAATGTTAAAGGGAGCTCAAGCTGAAATGAAAGAACACTATGTAACAACATGAAAACAAAAGCATAAAACTCATTCGTAAGAGTAAATAGTTAAATTCAGAATACCTCAGTACTGTAATGGTGGTATATAAATCACTTTTATCTCTATTATAAAAACTGAAGATAATATTTAAAAAATTGTAGCTATAATAATTTGTTAATGGATGCACAGTATATAAAGATGTAAAATGTGACAATAGCATAAAATTTGGGGGGAGGAGAAGTAAAACTGTAATTTGTATGTGATTGAAAGTGAGTTGTTATCAGCTTAATTTAGACTATTCTATCTCTAAGATGTTTTACATAAGTCTCATCGTAACTAAAAAGAAAAGAAAATCTATAGTATTTACATAAAAGTTAAAGAGAAAAGAATTAAAGCACATAAAAATATATACAAAAAATAACACAAATTAAGAGATGAAGAAAAGAACAAAGGAACTAAAAAATTCAGAAAACAATTTAAAAATGGCAATAGTAAGTACTTACCAACCAATAATTAATTTAAATGTAAATAAACTAATTCTTTAATCAGAAGACACAAAAGTGGCTAAATGGATAAAATACAAGATCCAAAGATATGTGGTCTATACAAGACACTCTCTTTAGCTTTACAGATACACACAGGCAGAAATTGAAGGGATGGAAAAAGATATTCTATGCACTATACTGATGTCAGATAAAACAGACTTTTAGTCAAAATCAGTGGCAAGAGGAAAAGTTGACATAGTGATAAAGGGGTCAATTCATCAAGAGGATATAACAATTATAAATATATATGTACCAACACTGGAGCACCTATATATTTAAAGCAAATATTAGAACTGGAGGGAGAAATAGAAGGCAATACAATACTAGTAAGACACTTAAATACCCCACTTTCAACATCAGAGAAATCATCCAGACAGAATTAGTAAGAAAACAGTGGACCTAAATAACACTACAGACCAAATGGACCTAACAGACATATAAAGAACATTCCATTCAAGAAACCAGAATTGACATTCTTCTCAAGTGCACACAAAACATTCTCCAGGATAGATCATATCTTTGGAACACAAAGCAAGAAGATTGAAATTATTTCTAATATCTTTTCTGACCACAGTGCTATTACACTAAAAATCAATAACAGGAGGAAAATTGGAAAATTCACAAATATGTGAAAAGTAAACAACACGATTCTGAACAACTAATGGATCAAAGAAAAAACCAAAAGGGAAATCATATAATATCTTGAGACAAACGGAAATGAAAACAAAACATACCAAAACTTATGGGATACAGGAAAGCAGTTCTACAAGAAAATTTATAGCAACAAATGCCAAAAATAAGAGAAAGATCTCAAATAAACAACCTAATTTTACACCAAAAGGAACTAGAAAAAGAACAAACTAAGCCCAAGTTAGCAGAAGCAAGGAAATAATAAAGATCAGAGTGGAAAAAACTAAAATAGAGACTAAAGAAACAATAGGAAAAAAAAATCAATGAAACTACTAAGAGCCATTTTTTTGGAGGGATAAACAAAATCAACAAACCTTTAGCTGGAGTAATGAAGAAAAAAGAGAAGACTCAAATAAACTTATAAATGAAAGAGAAGATATTACACATTATCCCACAGAATTACAAAAAATCATAGAAGCTACTATGAACAATTATATGTAAACAAATTGGATAACTGAAAAGCAATGGATAAATTCCTAGAAAGAATGAATTATGAAGAAACAGAAAATCTAAACAGACTAACAGTGACTAAAGGGATTGAAGCAGCAAACAAAACCTCCCTTGGGGCAACTAGGTGGCTCAGTTTGTTGACTGTCTGACTCTTGGTTTTGGCACAGGTCATGATCTCAGGGTCATAAGATCGAGCCCCAGGTCAGGCTCTGTGCTCAGTGCAGAATCTGCTTGAGATTCACTCTCCATCTCTCTCTGCCCTTCCCCCTGTTCACACTTGTGCTCTCTCTCTCACTCTCTCTCTCAAAAATAAATAGGGGCACCTGGGTGGTACAGTCAGTTAAGCATATGACTCTTAGTTTTGGCTCAAGTCATGATCTGAGGGTCATGAGACTGAGCCAGGTGTTGGGGTCCATGCTCAGCGTGGACTCTGCTTGAGATTCTCTCTCCCTCTCCCTCTGCCCCTCCTGCTTGTGCTTGCTTTCTCTTTCTCTCTCTCTCTCGCGAATACATAAATAAATCTTTAAAAATAATAATAAAACAGGGGCACCTGGATGGCTCAGTCGTTAGGTGTCTGCCTTCGGCTCAGGTCATGGTCCCAGGGTCCTGGGATCAAGCCCCGCATTGGGCTCCCTGCTCTGCAGGAAGCCTGCTTCTCCCTCTCCCACTACCCCCTGCTTGTGTTCCCTCTTTCGCTATGTCTCTCTTTGTCAAATAAATCTTAAAAAAATAAAAATAAAACAAATAATAAAATAAACAAATCTTTAAAAAAAATAATCAAAACCTCCCAATAAAGGAAAGCCCAAGACCAGATGGTTCCAGAGAACATTTAAAGAATTAATGCCTATCTTTCTCAAAGTCTTCTAAAGGAATGAAGAGGAGAAAACACCCTTAAACTCAGTTTCCAAG